AAAAAGGAAATTGGTTGATGCTCAGGTCATCAACCAGGGAGAAGGATCTTTCGCGAAAAAATACAATGCCGCTTCCTTATTGCGCGTTCTACCTGAGACACACTGTATAAATAAAACATATTAAAAAATTGGAACTTCCCGAATAATTGCGATCGCGGCCCCATTTTTACGCTAATTGCCGACAAAAATACCTTTCGTTCAAAAAATCACTTAAGTTCGTATAGTTTGATGTCATCAAACACGAACACGAACGTGCGAACACAAACAAAGAAAACACTCGTAACTTTTGAAAATAACTGATCATGATAAAAATTCACAAAAATTTTGTTAATTGTAAAGAACAAGTACTTTTTATGGTCCAAATCATTTGGTTTACCGTTTCCAACTCGCGATTTATGTAAAAGGGGTACATAATATACAAAACAGGAAGAAGAAAAACGAATTAGGGAATTTCTTTCGAAAAATTCCCATTATGTGATGGTTTTTCAGCCCAATCGTCCGTCTGTCTGTCTGTCCGTCTGTTCCTCATCTAACTCGAGAACGAAAAAAGACAGCGATAGGTCAAACTTTCGCCAATCGATTTCTAGAGTTCAAGTTCAAAAATCAGTGCTATTGAATATGAGCCGGATTAAAAGTCGTGTTACCGAATGCGAGCCGAGTGTCAAAAAATTCGCATGCGATTCTTCGTATCTGTGACCAGAGTTCATAAAAGTAGTTGAAACAACTTGTCATTATAAATTTTAACTTTTCAAAAAAGCTGGGAAAAAATTGATAATAAAAATGAATAAACAAATAAAAGCTCTACAGGAAAAACTGCTGTAAAATATATAGTACAAGAAAATAAATATTTTTACTGACATTTTACAAGAGACGGTGCGTTTGCGAAAAGCGAAAAGAAATTGGATATTTCCTACTTGGATTATGAAAAAAACTGTACAGGGTGTAACAGGTGATAAAACAAAAAATGAGTGGTAGTGGGATTTTCTCTCGGATTTTCCATTTCCCATTAGCAGAATTCGGAAAACAACTTCATAAACTCCCTCTCATGCAACAAATGCGAAATAGTGTTTTCATTTGTGTATATACTGACTATTAGTTTACTTTTAGTTCGAAACCTTTCACTACGCAAATTGTGAAGGGAATTTATGAAAATTAGATAGGTATGTCTCAAAACGCTTAAAAAAGTTAAACCTTCCCACCACACACAACACAACTGAAAATATTATTTTTCTGAAACTACTTTAGAAACAACTGCTTTCGTCTCTAAAAAGGATCAAGAAAATGTGATTTTCCGCTCTAGTGAGGAAAGTAGAAAACAATTGCTGCGTTAATCTTAATAATGACATTTAAAATTGAAACATACCCCTATCTAGATTGCTATGTGTCAAACTTCATTATTGCATACGATAATTTATCAATTTTGATTTTAGTTACAAAAAAAATTATGTGTAAAACTTGAGAAGATAGTTATTTATATTACAAGAGCGCGAAGTTCAATTTCGCGCATTGAGACTGAAGGTATTTTGACGAGGCGAAGCTGAGTTAAAATATCAGTAAAATGCGTGAAATAATTTCGCGCTAGCGTTATATACAACAATATTTTTTCTACAACTGAACCGATTTTTAATTAAATTTGCTGTTTAAGTTCAACTTTGTCACGTGCGCGAAATACTTTTTTTCACTGTTGTCGCTTTCGCGCACATTGTCAAGAGCCACCTTACTTATTAATTAACCGTTTAAAAATCTAGGACTTCGCGTTTCGAAATTCGTCAGAAAATGACAGGTTTCTTTGACAGTTGTAGAAAAAAGTGTTTTTTTTTCTACTTTCTGTTCTAGTTGTACAAATAACTATTTCATTGTGCAGACGGTGTGCAGATGAACTGAATAAAAGATTTTTTTGTCCCCTTGAAATTTTCCGTAGGGGTGACGGTTTATTAGATGAAAGGTAAATTTTTCTATAGTAGACTCATTTAAGGGGACCTTACTCTTTTAAAAGGGTTCTTTCTAAAATTTTCGAGGAAAACGTAAAAATCACCTATCTCGTCCCCGATTTACGGTAACAATGAAACTATGTTGACTTTGCACATTTTGTAGGTACTGTTTTTTCATATGATTTTATGCTCATTCAAAAAAGCAAATCTGAAATTTGTGTGTAGGCACGCAATTTCAAGAAAAATGCAATAAACGGAGCGCGAAGCAGCAACGGTCACCGCGACTAGCAAAATACAGGCGGTGTGTCGTGGCTCCATGGACATAACTTAACACCGGTCAATTTTCAAACTCAATAGTTAAAAAGTTATGGGCAATATTTAAATTTAACAATAAATCAATCTAGTAGGTCATGTAATTGTTTTGTCAAATTGTTATGGAGACATTGTTTATTCTTTCACGTATACTTGTAATTTTAAGATTAAATTGATGTGGCCTATTAGGTATTCTTCGATCAGGTAAGTAACCTCCGCTAATATGCCCTCACTGTCGCACTTGCATTTCCGTCGCAGTATCCGTAAAGTGAATATCCGCATATTCTTGATTTGAAAACATAGCCATATCAATTTAATCGTAAAATTACGTCAAAGAATAAACAGTGTCACCATAACAATATGACAAAACAATTAATGGCTCACTAGATTGATTTATTGTTAAATTTAATATTGCCAATAACTTCTTAACTATCGAGTTTTGGGCAAAGTGTATAGGGAAATTTCGTCTTAAAATTGACCAAAGAATATGGCGTTAAGCTATGTCCATCGAGCCACGGGACACCCTATATATGGCATTTGGTCTATGAAAATGGCTGGATGTGCGACTGGTTGCAACTATTTTTAAATCACAATTCGCATTTTAGAGTCAATTTCAGAAGGCGTCTGTTGCATGCTCCACTGCACTGAATCGAGAAACCGTACAAAGCTATTTTTCTTTGATGGAAATCGTACTCATTGAACATCAACATTTTGATAAGACCGGAAATATTCTTAATATTTAGGAGAAGAGATTATAACTAAACGCCAAACCAGTGATCTAAAGGCTATTAGCTCTATTTCTTCGGGTGAGAAAGAGCATAATTGTTTGCTGTAACGGAGAGAGAACCTTTAATATCCATTTCCTGTATCTAGGGGAAAATAGATCCCCCCTGGCTCGCTCATCAACACTGAAATTATTTTCATCTGGCCCTAGGAACATTGTATATGTTCTGCAAACCTATGCGAAACGTTCTCGCTGGTCATACTTTTCTCATTGCAATTTATGCGAAATGATGGCATTTGCAGACGAGCCTCTTTCTCGACAAAGCTCCAACAATTACGAGGGTCATTTGAAAAGTCTGTTGCTTCGTAATGATATTTAGTGACGACATGTGTACAATTTTGTGGGGTATGTGGAGAAGACGTTGGCGAAGGTGATTCACGAAAGCCATTATTACGTTGGGTTATT